GTTGAGGCAGGCTTAGGTCCGGCCATATATGTGGTCAGATGCATCCAGGTTCAGCCATATATGCGGTCAGATGCATCCAGGTCCGGCCATATATGGGGTCAGATGCATCCAGGTCCGGCCATATATGCGGTCAGACTGGTAACGAGGTAGGAGGGTTGAGGCAGGCTTAGGTCTGGGAAACTGGGCGACATCTGATAGCTAGGTGTTGGTTGTTGATGCAGGCTCCAGAATGAGCTTCTGCTTATGAGTTTCTCTGAGTCTAATTCTCATAGTGATTTGTGGTTCTTCTCATTCGCCTCTCTGAGGCTTTTGGATGAGCAGTTCGGCTCAATAGGTGAGTAGTTTACTCATGTTTTCCTAATGGTCTTGAATTTTCTTCAGTGTTCTCAGACGAAGACGGATAATGACCCGGTATCTTAATGCTTGCACAATTTCGTATGGGACGCTGGGCCCGGTTCCCAGCACCTGTTGCTCCCCACGAATAGATTGGAGCATTTGGGGGGGGGGGGGGGAGGGGAAATAAAAAAAAATAGTACTATTTTATTGCAACAAAGAATCGAATTCAGAGAGCACCCCAAGTTTAGAGTGGGCAACCAATCGTGCAGATGGATAGAAATCCGACCAGATACGATAGAAAATATCCAATGGCCATGTATGCATACCGGTTGATCTGGCAAACCAACGAAGAAAGCGGATGCAATGCAAGAATCTTTCCTTCTACAGCATGACTGACCCCTTCAGACTTAGATTTCCAGGGGGGGATGGGGATATACACACCTGCTGAGGGGATAACAGTCCACTGACTGCACCAGATGCGGGATGTCGTAGAGGGGACGCGGTGTGATACCTCGACTGCAGATGTCCCACCAACCCTTCGGACTGGAAACCCGACAACCCAAAGCCACCTCCAGAACTTCCAACAGCCTCACTATTTTCATGACCTCGATCTGATCCATCTCCCAATGCTGATGCGAGCCGTACTCTAACCGCTGGGCTGAAATCGTGTCGCAGGCTCTGAGAGGCAGGTTCTGCAGACTCGGATGTCCCGACTGATGAGGATCCTATTCGACTGCTGGGAGGAAAGCGGGACCTCGACGGATGGTGTCGTCTGTGCATATCATCAAATTTCACATACATTTCAATCACATACCCACAAGTGTCAGAACTGACCCACCATATACCCACGAGTGTCAGAACCGTCCCAACGACTATTACTAGTGACAGCGATCGAGCTCCAGAGCATCAGCCCGTTCCTTACAGGAGCAAGAGATACGCTACTTCAGTTTTAAAAAGCTGGGCCTGGGAGTCCTTCGGGACATCCGTTGAAATTGGAACGATACAGAGAAGATTAGCATGGCCCCTGCAC